CCCAGCCCTATGGGAGTTCAGGTAGTTGCTCAACTCATGGCTCCCTGGTAGTTGCTCTTTCCCCAGTGGCTCTTTATCTCACCTTGTAGAGGCTTGCCTTATATGTGCACAGCTTGGTATTTGGCCAAACACTCAAGGGGACCCTTGTCAGGTTAGACACTGCTGCTTTTCTGCTGAGCTTCCTTCTGTGTTGTTTTGTTGAGCTTCCTTCTCTGTGTTGTTTTGTTTTTATTTATTTTGAGACGAAATGTTACTCTGTTGCCCAGGCTGGAATGCAGTGGTGCTTTCATGGCTCACTGCAGCCTCTGCCCCACTGCAGCCTCTGCCCCATAGGTTCAAGCAATTCTCCTTCCCCAGCCTTCTGAGTAGCCGAGATTACAGGTGCCCCCCCGCTATGCTCAGCTAATTTTTGTATTTGTGATAGAGACAGGATTTTGCCATTTTGGCTAGGCTGGTCTCGAACTCCTGGCCTCAAGTGATCTGCTGCCTTGGCCCCCAAAGTGCTGCGATTACAGATTTGAGCCACGGTGCCCAGCCCTCTGTTATTTTGCTCTGCAATTTTTCACAGATTAATGGGAACCTTACCCATTAATCTGTCTTTGGAGCTTTGCAAGACTACTGTTCTTTGTTTGGGCTTGCCCCGTCTCTATCACATACTGGACATGTCTGGACTGTCACCTTTTTTTTTTTTCTCTCAAGGACCATAGTTCTTGGCTGGGCGTGGTGGCTCAAGCCTGTAATCCCAGCACTTTGGGAGGCCGAGGCGGGTGGATCACGAGGTCAAGAGATCGAGACCATCCTGGTCAACATGGTGAAACCCCGTCTCTACTAAAAATACAAAAAAAAAAAAAAAAAAAATTAGCTCTGCATGGTGGTGTGTGCCTGTAATCCCAGCTACTCAGGAGGCTGAGGCAGGAGAATTGCCTGAACCCAGGAGGTGGAGGTTGCGGTGAGCCGAGATTGCGCCATTGCACTCCAGCCTGGGTAACAAGAGCGAAACTCCGTCTCAAAAAAGAAAGGACCATAGTTTTATACTGCTTGTTGTCCAGTGTCTGAAAACCATTATTTCATGCGTTTTGTTTAATTTTATGATAGTTCGTGACAGGAGGGCCAGTCTTATGTCTGTTACTCACATTACGGTCAAAGTGAGAAGTATAATGGTAAATTTATTGACAGATTTAAAGCAGATTAATGTCATGATATGTGGCTGTTTTATGAAGATCACCTTGGTGCTCTCTTAAAAATGGACTCCAAGCACGGTAGCTCACGCCTGTAATCCAGCACTTTGGGAGGCCAAGGTGGGCAGCTCAGGAGGGCAGGAGATCGAGACCATTTTGGCCAACATAGTGAAACCCAGGCTCTACTAAAAATATAAAAATTAGTTGGGCATGGCGGTGTGTGCCTGTAATCCCAGCTACTCGGGAGGCTGAGGCAGGAGAATCCCTTGAATTAAGGAGTTGTAGGTTGCAGTGAGCCAAGATTGTGCCACTGTACTCCAGCTTGGTGACAGAGTGAGACTCCATCTTAAAAAAAAAAAAAAAAAAAAAAGGCCGAGTAGGTGGAAGGAGGCTAACTAGAGGCTGTTGCAAACTAGACTGGAAATGGGGTGAAATGGTTAGACTCGAGAAATACTTTTGCACTAGAACAATTAGGATCTGCTGTTGACTTGGTTATGGGAAATGAAAATCAGAAGGAATAAAAGGAGAGCTTGGTGTTTGGCTTAAGCCACTGGAATGGCAGTAAGTACCACTTAATGAGAAAGAGAAGACTCATCTCTCATCAGTCATCAGATGAGGGGTGAGGTTGAAGAAGAAGAAATCAAGAATTTTTTTGGATAAAATATGTGTGAGTTGCCTATTAGATATCTAAATAGAGATGCCAAATGGGCAGTTGCATGTGTGAGTTCTGAAATTAGAGCAGAGGGCAGGCCTAGAAATTTGTCAGCATTTCCATTGTATTTTAAACCACATAGAAGATTAGAGAGTTTAGATGGAAAAGAGAAAAAGGTTAGAACTTATCACCTGGTCACTGGTCTAATTTAGACCTGGAGGTCTAATTTAGAAGGAAGAACCTGTGAAGGAAACAGAGAAAGTGCAATTGAAAAGAGAGAAGTAAAAACAGGAGAGTGTGGGGTCATAATAGTCAAGACAAAACACGTATCTAGGAGGGATTGGGTCATTGCTTTGAATGCTTCTGAGAATTCCAGGAAGATGAGGACAGAAATGTGTTCATTAGTTTTGGTAACTTAGAATTTGTTGGTGGTCTTGATGAGTTGTTTCAACAGAGGAGTAGAGAAAGAAGTCAGATGAGGCTGCTTTTATGAGTAAAGGGATCTTATATGTCTAAAATATTTTGCGATTAATTAAAAAGAATGAATGGGAGAGGAGGAAGGAGAGATAGCGGCAGTCTTCAGGGTGGATATTTGAACACCTTGGAGTTCCCAAAGACTTTCCAGTGGTTTGTGGGTAGTGTGCAGGGCAGTTTCAGATTCTCAACTCCCACATGTCATTTTCTGCATTTTAATTGGCCAAAAACATACCTGGGAGATCTTTTTTTTTTTTTTGAGACGGAGTTTCGCTCTTGTTAACCAGGCTGGAGTGCAATGGCGCAATCTCGGCTCACCACAACCTCTGCCTCCTGGGTTCAGGCAATTCTCCTGCCTCAGCCTCCTGAGCAGCTGGGATTACAGGCACGCGCCACCATGCCCAGCTGATTTTTTGTATTTTTAGTAGAGACGGGGTTTCACCATGTTGACCAGGATGGTCTCGATCTCTTGACCTCGTGATCCACCCACCTCGGCCTCCCAAAGTGCTGGGATTACAGGCTTGAGCCACCGCGCCCGGCCACCTGTGAGATCTTCTTTCACCTCCCTTTTTCGTGGTTGCATTTTGCCCACTGTAACTCCTGTTCATCCTTCAGCTCTCAGGTGTTTCTCAGGAACCTTTACAAGATCCCAAGACTAGGTCAGGATCTCCTAATTACTCTCTTACAGTATTATGGATATTTTCTTTATAATACTTTTTACATATGAATTATATAGTTACCTAAAAATTACTTTCTTCATTTGACAAATATTTGAATACTGTTATTGTGCTGTGTATCGTTCTGGGTGTCTGATATGCATCAAATGACAAGAAAATTACAAGAAAAATTGTAATTTAAAATCAGGATGAGCCTGCTTCAGTTTTTGACTTCTGAACAGACTTCAACAGTTAAAGGAAGGACAGAGCCTGTCAGAGGGAGCAGTGAGTGCAGAGGCCGTAAGAGGGTGACTGACGTTTTGAGGGAAGGCAAAGAGGCGAGTCTGGCTGGAGTGGACTGGATGAGAGAGAGAAGTATAAGAGATGAGGCCAGAGAGGTAACAGGGCTGAATCATGGAGAGCCTTCTAGGTCAGCATAAGGGCTTTGACTTTTACTGTGAGTGAAAAGAGAGTGTTTTGAAAATTGCAAGCATGTTTTGACTTCTGTTTTAAAAAGATCACTCTAGATACTCTATTGTGAATGGTGAGATAGATTTGGGAGACTGTTGGTGTAATCCAGGCAAAAGATAATGGTGACTTAGAGCAGTGTGACAGTTGAGGTGGTAAGTTTCAGGATATATTTTGAAAATAGGAAGAGCAGGATTTCCTGATGAGTTGGATGTAGGTGTAAGAAAAAAAGAGACTCCTATATTTTTGGCTTGAACAACTGGCTGGATGCATACCATGAATGAAGGCAGAATGAGTGAAGCAAGTTTAGAGGGGAAGGCCAGGAGGTCACTTGTAGATGTGTTAATAGTGGGGCAGGTAATTCAGTATGCCAATAAATCAATAAAGCAAAGTACATACAACTATGGATTTCAGTAGGATGTAAACATTTGGGAGTTATCACTATGTGCATGATGTTGAACGGTAAATACCAAGGGAATGAGTATAGGTAGAGAAGAGAAGCGTACAAAGGACTGATACCTGAGGCACTCCTGAGGAATTGGGAAGAAAAGGAACCAGTAAGCTAGGAGGAAAAGCTTAGAGTGCCATATCTTGGATACAAAGGGAAGAGAGTGGATTAAGGAAGAGGGATTGAGCAATTGGGTAAAATGCTGGTGGTAGATCAAGTACAGTGACTAAGGATGAATCATGGGTGTTAGCCATGTGGAGGTCGTCAGTGACCCTGATGAATTATGTAGATGATTATTTGATGAAACTCTATTTTTCCTATTAAAGGTTCCATGATAAAAGGGACCAAATATGTTATTTCTCATCATTCTATCTCCAAAACTTAGTTCCTAGAGTACACAAAACTTAGGTCCCAGAGCCTCTGGGAAGACTAGAGAACTTGGTTCAGAAGTTATGTAGACAAGAACAATGCTTCGAATCAATCATACTCCTATATTGGTTTGGTGATGACAGTGCTGCTTCCTTCCTTTTCTATCCTGAACTCAGTAAAATTTGAGTTAAAAAATATGTTTTTCTGACATTTTCTGAACCTGAATTACTTAGGAAGCTTGTTCAACAGTGTCATCTTTTTCTTCCTAACTGTAGCACCACTGGAAAGAGATCTTCATCATAGGTAACCATATGTTGGAAAGATTGCTTTCCATAGCTTTGTGCAATGAAGACTGATTGTGATGGTGTTTATTTCTCCTTTGAAAAGGGAGCATTTCTAATCCCCTTTTTGGGTCATTTGGAATTCTGATTACATATCTTGGAGTCATGTGGAAGATTTGACAAAAAACCTGGGGATGTGAAACAGTAGTTTCAGCTGTTATGGTAGCTGGCGTCTGTGACTGATTTTAAATAACTAGGTGTTCAGAGATAGGGATCCTTGTATGCCTGGATGGTTGAGTGGGCCTGAATGCAGTCTGTGGATTCCCCGATTCACAGGGAAGGGTTGGTAACACAGAGGGGTCAGTGTCTTGTAAGGCTGTAGTGATCTTTTGCATACAACTGCCCCGTCTCCCCTTTCAAAAAAATGAGAGTGAGCAGGAGAGCGCTGAATCTGTTTTTGCCTCTTTTGTATAGGAGATGCATCGAAGGTTTGAAAATGCTCCTGATTCTGCCAAAACAAAAGCTCTGCAAACTGTTATTGAGATGAAGGTAAGTGATAATCTAGTAAAGAATAGTATGAATCACCTTATTATTTTAAGTAATCAAAAACTTCCCTGTGTGAGTGTTAGGAAATGGCATGTAATAGTATTTCACTTATTTGGAGATTGAGAGTGAGAATCAATAAAAATGACATTTTAAAATAATTTCAATTTTATTTCTTTTCACTTACAGACCATAATGTAAATTGGACCAAAATGAGTTGAACAGAATTTCTTTAAATCAGCTATTTGCAAATTTCTTGGTCTCAGGCCCTCTTTATTCTCTTAAAGTGGCAGACTCCCCCCGCACCTTTTTTTTTTTTTAAAGAAAATGGCTGCCAAATACCAAATCTGGGTAACCATAGCTTGTCAGTTATTCTTTCAAGTAAAAATAGTGTTCTGTGAAGAAAATGTTGAATTTAACTTACAACTCAAAGCAACATACAAGTACTTTGCTTAGGGACAACTGTCGTATTTCGGTACGCAGCCTCTTGCCGTTTTGTCACACCCAATATTAACAGTATGTGTACTCCAGAGTTGAGATTTATTAATAGTAATACTTTTTGCTGCTTCCTCACGGACAGTCTGAAGTGGTCTTTTAAAAATTTTATTTCTTATTTTTCATTTTTTTTCCCTTCAAGTGCCTGACAGTGACAAATATTAATAAAATGACTATAAGTATGGTTTGATGCGATTGCCTTGATTTGTGCTAAGGCACTAGCAGTTTTGCCTATCATTGCTTTATATCTTTATTTTAGACAGTGGAGAAGTCAAGTGACATCATGGTATTATTATGAAAATAGTTCATAAAAGTATGATTATAAAGTATAAAATAGTTCATAAAAGTATAAAAATAGTTTACAAAGTATGATCATACATACTTTGTGAAAAGGTTGAGGGTACCCTGAGGGTTCCATAGGCCATCCTTTGAAAACCTCTGCTTTAAGTTAATGAACATTTAGAAATCTTTAGGCTGTTCAGTATAGTGATTAAGAGCTTGCTTTCTAAGTTAAACTCCCTGGATTCAAAATCTCTCTTCACTTAACCAATTGTAAAATATGGAGCAAGTTACCTATGCCTCAGTGTCTTTATCAACAAATGGTGATAGTAATAGTACTGTTCAAGTGGGTCATTTTGGGATTTCAATTAGTTAAAATATGTAAAAACACTTTAAACAGGACCTAGTGCATAGTAAACATTCAATCCATACTAGCTGCTGCTGCTATTATTATTTTTGTTAACAATCTGTTCTTTCTCATAAAAGCTCTTGTAGATAGGGACATCCCCCTACAGGTACTTCATATCCCCTAGAAAGCTCAGTACTGTGTTTTACATTGTGGGCCTCCATTTAATAGTTGTTGATATGACAAGAATATTTAGTTAATGGCATATAATTTTATTGTAAATAGATACTGCTGTAGTTAGTTATGGGAACTATTGTCTTAATTTGCATGATTTCCTCTTACAACTTTAAAATGTTGATTACATTTTAATTCTTGGTGGGGAAAGGATTTTCCAAACAAATTCCAAATTATTGGATTCTGGTTTCTTTGTAGTTAGTTAGTAGTCTTGAGTGTCATCTTGTAAAGGGCCTTTAGGATGGTTCACTTGCACGGTTTTACCTTTTTCACATTCACCACAAGTTTATTTGTCGTATTATTTCCTGATCCCTGTTAAGACCTCAGAATAAAACACATGAATGTAACTATGTTCACAAAATTATTTGTTTAACCACCTTTTGACAGAATGAGGGAAATAATAGTATTACTTGAGAGTGGATGTATTTTAACTTGGGTGAACCTTCAGCCATTATGCTAAAAAGCAAAAAGATTCTAGTGACCAATTGGGGTCAAGAGAATGTGATGCTGAAATCACAAAAGAAATAGCTGTGTTGCTGAGAATGTGGAATGCACTTGAGAGAATTAGGAAAATTTAGACTAGTCTTTAGGGAAAATAAGGAAGAAAGATGATTGAAGTAAAAGAGCCCAGTAATCTTAAAGGTGTCAAAATTTTCTTTTTTCTCTCCTCTTTCTCCTCTTCTTTTTCTTCTTCTTCCTCCTCTTTTTTTTTCTTCTTATACCTTCTCCCACCATTTTCCCTCATTCCAGCCTTTCCTTCTTTGCCCCTCTTCTCTTTCTCCTCTTCCCCTTTTTCTACTTTTGTTTGTTTGTTTTTCCTTTACCAGTGGAGGAACAGGGAATAATTACTGTACTGCTCTAGCATTAGAGTTTTGTTGGGGTAGATAAGGCAGAGTGATTGAAATGCAAATGAATTGAGGGTGATGATGACAGAATAGTTTGGAGGTTGGTCCTGGACTGTACCCTGGATGTGGAAAAAAGAAAATGCAGATGGACGGACAGGTTGGGAGAAAATGTAACAGTTAGGAAAGTGGAGTTCTCTGTGAGGTTAAAGAACAGGAAATAATTGGAGTGAGGATATGACATGCCTGGGGAAGAGAGTTCTGGGTGATAATAGGATCCAGAGTACCGTCCTATAGACTGGATCACTGAAATGGACTGAAGGATGAGGTTATTGCAATTAAGAACGTCAAGGAATTCTGACATTGCAATCCTAGGATTATGGCAAGAGTGGCAATTGAAGGGGGTATTGTAAGTCAGGTGCCAAAGACTACCAAAAGTGGGCAGGAGTGATTGAGAAGTCCCTGGATGGCAGCAATGAGGAGGGTAGGAAGAAAAGGAATATAAGCTTTCCATAAAGGGAAATAGCCTTGAGGAACGAACCAGGAGAACTTCAACCCTTTCCCCTGCTCCTTTGTGGTGTTGGGGTTATTACTGGCCTTCACTGGAGAGAGTTCATGGTGAAAAGTTTGAGGATTTGGGGGAATCTGACAAAGAGCAGAGGATTTCAGTAAGTCCAGTCGGATTGGTTGCACAATGATGGGAGAGCTGGGGCTGGGGAAGTACAGTGTAGTAAAGTGAAAAGGAACTTATTTATTTAAATATTACACATTCTAGGAGGAAGAAACTTGGTTGGAATGACTTTCCTCAAATCTAGCATTAGTACTAATTGGGTTGGTGCTAGAACTAGTTGACAGTATCAGGCCTTTTGATTTCCGTGGTAGGTTCTTTTTCTGGTCAGTCAGTACCTGCCTCCTGGTTTTCAGAGCAGCAGTCATGATCCCTTTTTGGGAAGAAGGTTTTATGGCACATGATTTGGTAGTGAGGGTGCTAATTTGTCAAGAGCTGCCTTTGTCTCCGTTTGGGTTAGGGGAGCAGATAATATTTTTTAAGGGCCTTGTGGAGACTTTCTAGAGGCTCTGTACAGATAGAGGCTGCCATGTGGTGTATAGAGTTCGAGTTCCTACTTGGGGGCTAAATTGTCTTGGGTGGAGCCCCAGTGCTGCTGAAGATAGACCTGTCTTTCAGCTGGTCCAGTTTTATTACCACCCAGGGTAATAACAGAGGAGAACTTATATTTAACTTTTACTTTCTTTCTTTTGTAGGCTGATCATATGCTTATGCCTAGTATTTCAGTCTTTGTAAGGGGACTGTGTTCTGATATTTCCAGAGAAATTTTATAGCAATCTTAAGTGAATTTTCAGGTAGCGCACATGAAGTACTACTCTTTATAGGTCAGTTGTTTTACATGAGTAAATTAACCCCCCGGTCCCCCTCTCCCCCAGTTTAGGTTTAGAATGTCTCTGATTGTATTAATTTAATACAACGGATTTTTAACAGATGCATTTTAAGTTTAATACATTTATAAAAGGAAATTTTCATTGTGATATTTTTAAAGGTCATGTGATGAGCAAGACAGAGGAATAAATCCTCTCTTTTCCCCTCCCATGAACCTGAAAATAGCCAGGTGTAGTTTTCTCAAGATAAATCTTCTTGCTCTGAGAATTATGATAGCAAAGAGGGACTTAGTCAAGAAATCATTGAGGTAAAGTAGAAAAGGAAGTTAATCTCAAAATAGCTTCCAAAGGAATGGTTTCTCTAAAACTCCCAAGTAAAATAAAGCTATACTTAATTTATGTTCTTTAAGGTCTCTGTTTCTTCGATGAGTAAGCATATACAACTGCAGGTATATGAAACTGTTGATTCCTTGTAGAGTCTTTCTGTAATTCATGACATGTAAAGCAGTCTGGGGAGAAACTAGGTACCGCAACAAACAAAATCAAGAAATTGAATATGAAATAATGTTCTACTAGAAGGTGATATTTGTGGTAGTGATGATTTATAAGGACAGTGATTTTAAAAAATTATGAATTACTGTAAATGTATGGAGAAGTATAGACAGTAAGGATTTCTAACATGTTAACAGTAACAACTTATTTATTCCCTGATTTTTCTGCAATGGGATGTTACGTAATTTTTATTATTGCACATATAGCTGTACACATTACTAAATCTTTGAAACCCTCTTACTCTTTTCCCTTCCTTTGGGGCATATGTGCTTTTTAGGGGTCACCAAGTAAAATGATAAAATATTAGAATTTGCAAATTTTTTCATGCAAATAAATTTTAATCAGTTTTTCATTGCATTTACTTCTTTAGTTAATTATTTCAACTTTAAAGAATGCAAAACTGGAGGTAGCCATGGAGGCAAAATTATAATGTGGATATGAGTGCTTCTCCTTCCACTCAATGACCGTAAAGCTGGGCATGGTGGCTCATGCCCGTAATTAAGCCCAGCACTTTGGGAGACTGAAGTGGATGGATCACTTGAGGTCAGGAGTTCGAGACTAGCCTGGCCAACATGGCAAAACCCTGTCTCTACTAAAAAAATGCAAAAATTAGCCGGGTGTGGTGGTACACACTTGTTGTAATCCCAGCTACTTGGGAGGCTGAGGCAGGAGAATTGCTTCAACCTGGATAGCAGAGGTTGCAGTGAGCCAAGATCACACCACTGCACTTCAGCCTGGGTGACAGAGCAAGACTCCATCTCAGAAAAAGGCAGCAAGGCACCAATTACCAGACAGCAATTTTTCTGTCTATTTGTTTGTCTTTATTAAATGTAGCATCTTTAAATATTAAATAATATTTATTTAACATATTAAATAATAACATATTAAATATGTTATTCAGCTTTTCTGGGTTTTTGTGAATAGTTCAATCACTAAATCTTCCGTTGTCTTCAGGATTCAAAAATTTCCTCTATGGAGCGTGGGCTTCGAGACCTGGAAGAGGAAATTCAGATGCTGAAATCGAATGGGGCTTTGAGTACTGAGGAACGGGAAGAAGAAATGAAGCAAATGGAGGTGTATCGGAGCCATTCTAAATTTATGAAAAATAAGGTAATGGCATGTGAGACTTTGATTCTTAAAAGGGGTTTGAAAATTTGATGCATATTTTTTACTTCTTTAGCGATGATAAAGCTGTATTTTATACTGTTTTATCAGATTTCAGGGAAGAATACTTCTAGCCCAATTCTTTCAAATGAAACTTCTCCAGAATTACTGACATAGTTATTGTAAGTTTTTACTTAAAAAGACAATTCTCTCTATGAGACTACATATGTATTGACACAGTTTAACTTTTTATATCTATTAGTACTTCCGAGATGATTTAATTTAAACCTCAGATGAGTTTTTCTCACTATATGAAACATCAAGTTCTTTACCTCTTGTGAATTATTTAAAAAGTTAAAACCCAAAGAGGCTCTTTTTTTTTTTTTCCTTGAAACGGAATTTTGCTCTTGTCACCCAGGCTGGATCACTCAGTGGCATGATGTCTGCTCACTGCAACCTCTGCCTCCCAGGTTCAAGTGATTCTCAGCATACTGAGTAGCTGGGATTACAGGTGTGCACCACTGTGCCTGGCTAATTTTTTGTATTTTTGGTAGAGACAGGGTTTCACCATGTTGGCCAGGCTGGTGTTGAACTTCTGACCTCAGGTGATCCACCCACCTCGGCCTCCCAAAGTGCTGAGGTGACAGGTATGAGCCACCTTGCCCGATCCTAAGAGGCTTTTTAATGAAATGGGTTAAATGAAGTTATGTTTCCCCTCCAAATACAGTTCTGTAAAGGAAAGCACTTTCTTTGTCCTATCCTGTGGGGAAGATCCATTTGCTGTCAGTTTTATTGCTTCCCATGTACACTTCAGGCGTAATATGACAAAAAAGATACCACTGGGACCTATCAGTCTGTGTTTGTAAAATCAGTCACAAAATTCCTTCCTTGTATCCAAAGCCATTTAGTTTGATTCTCTAAACTATTTAGGCAAGTTGGAGGATTTAGTTTATCACTGTTACAATTTACCAGTTTTGTTGTAGTTTAATTAAACATCACGAATGCAATTATAAAGTTTTAGCTAGAAAATAAGCGTTTTCCCCCTTTATTTCCCAGTTGTATTCTCCAAGTTCTTAGAAATGAAAATGGAAACATCACAGTAATGTGAAGGAATGATAATCATAACTTCCCCTCCAGTTTCTGGCTTCTTGCCATGATACCCATACCTGGCATATAAGTCTACAGAATATTCCTCTACTACCTTGAGACTCTAGTATTAATCATTTCTACTAATTTCATTTCAGTTTTAGAACATAAAAACTCATATATCCAACTTACTTTCTTTTATTCTGTTTTTTTTTTGAGGCGGAGTTTTGCTTTGTTACCCAGGCTGGAGTGCAGTGGTATAATCTCAGCTCACTGCAGCTTCCAACTCCAGGGTTCAAGCAATTCTCCTGCTTCAGCCACCCAAGTAGCTGGAATTACAGGTGCCCACTACCATGCCCAGCTAATTTTTGTAGTTTTAGTAGAGTAGAGATGGTTTTCATTATGATGGCAAGGCAGGTCTCGAACTCCAAATGATTCTCCCACCTTGACCTCCCAAAGTGCTGGGATTACAGGTGTTAGCTGCTGCGCCTGGCCTCACATACCCAACTTTCTGTTAGTTTGGATTTTTCACCCTAATTTGAGAATAAAACATAGTGCAGTATAATCTGTTTTTCATTTGTTGATGAGCACATTACAGTCCACTGTGGGGGAAAATAAACGTGTGAACGTAGAGAAACTACCTATGGCTCTTTAAAGAGGGAGGGAATGAGGGGAACAGATTTGATTGTATTATATAAGTTACTGTTATTTCCAGTTACCATTCTGGCTCAAAAGCAGATAATAAGAAGACCTAAGTTGATACCTAAGTGAAAAAAAATAATAATGTCGTGACAGGTAGAACAACTGAAGGAGGAACTAAGTTCGAAAGAGGCTCAAGGGGAGGAGCTGAAAAAGAGAGCGGCTGGTCTTCAGGCTGAGGTCTTTGCCGTAAGATTTACCTCTCTGTATGCAGTGATCCCACAGTGGGACCCTGCTAGCTCTATGGCTTCTGGGTGGCTTACACTTTCATTCTCTATGGTTGGCAGCTTTGCCCATTGCTAGCACTAACCAGCCTGCTCTGCTCTTTAACTGACTTCTGTTCACCAGTTAGACCCACATGTCACTTTGTGTGCAGTGAGTCTTCACATGTTCTGGAAGCCTTATTATACCTGGTACTTTATTGTTGCTTTTGTCACTCTATGGATGGCATTTCAAAGCTTGTTTTCTCAACCCCTTATTGTTGATTTATATGAATGGTGGTCTTCTTTTTTTCCTAGGTACAAGAATATATTCAGTTGTTCTAGGCCTATCACTTAGAGTTTATTTGAATTTGAAGCTCTTGTGTAAAGTGATTAAAGTGATTTGCCTTCTTATGTAGACGTTACCTTTAAATCTCCAGTGAGTGGTTTTGCCACAAATGTTACTTTCTTTAGGACAGATGTATAGAAAGTATTTAGTAAATTAAAATTACTAAGAGACAACTTCAGGTATCTAAATCTAGTTCAATATTCTAATGAGCTTAAAATTTTATTTCAGAGCATAATAATAAAATAAATACAGTTGGCCCTCTATATCTGTGGGTTTTGCATCTGTGGATTTAACCAACTGTTTTTTATTTTCAGGGTAAAAAAACCGGATGTTGTATCTGTACTGAACGTGTACAGGCTTTTTTCCTTTGTCATTATTCCCTAAACAATATAGTATGACAACTATTTACATAGCGTTTACATTGTATTAGGTATTACAAGTAATCTAGGGATGATTTAAAACATACTGGAAGCTATGCATAGGTTATATGAAAATACTACATCATTTTATTTCAGGGACTTCACCATTTATTAATTTTGGTATCCAAGACCAGTCCCCGATGGACCCATGGATACCGAGGGATGGATGAATAATAAAATAGCTAATACTTGCATACTTACTATAAACATTTTATAACGTGCTGAGTTAGACATATTTTCAACTCCAAATTATAGACGAAACTGAGGTAACAGAATGGTGCCTAGAAAACACAGCTAGTAAGAGGCAGAATTTGGTTTTATACAAGCAGTCTTCTTCCACAAACTGTGCTTATAAGTTCTTTACTATACTTACCTGTACTAGGTGGTGCACACATTTATCAAAGTGTCAGCAAAAACTGCTTCTGAAAATAATTGTGGACTAAGAACTGGAATACGGCATTTGAAAAACCAAAATTGTGCTACTTTGGTAGATTTGTTGTTTATGGTCTACTTTATAGTATATATTAAAGAATTAAATATTTTGATAGAAAGGGTCCAATTTGGTTTATAGAAACCATATATTGTTTAGAGGGGAGGCTGATTGATAACTTCCTTTTTTAAATAGCTGCTGTTAGTGTCAGACAACAGGCTGAGCACTTTATTTTATTGAATCCATAAACAGTACGGTGACATTGGTATAATTTCTCCTTATTACTGATTAGGAAACTGAATAGGAAGGGAATTATTCAGGGACACATAGCTAGCTTAGTTCTGATGTGTGATTGTCTGCAAATCCTTGTGCTCCTAAGCTTTGTATTGTATTTGCTTCCTATTTATAATCTCTTCCCTTCTGAGTCTTTAAGGAAAATTTGTGCTTCTAAACTCTGCCTTTCTTTTTTTTTTTTTTTTGAGATGGAGTCTTGCTCTGTGATGTGATCTCGGCTCACGGCAACCTCTGACTCCCTAGTTCAAGCGATTCTCCTGCCTCAGCCTCCAGAGTAGCTGGGATTACACGCATGCGCCACCACGCCCCGCTAATTTTTGTATTTTTAGTAGAGATGGGGTTTCACCATGTTGGCCAGGATGTCCTCGATCTCCTGACCTCATGATCCACCTGCCTTGGCCTCCCAAAGTGCTGGGATTACAGGCGTGAGCCATTGTGCCTGGCCTAAACTCTGCTTTTCGTTTAAAATATTTTCTTTCCTTTCTTAGTGTTTATAAGGTCAATATAGCTTATTATTTGAAGCTTACTTAATACAGATGATGATGAAACAGATATTTATATTTATTTTTGACCACATGATTGGAGGTAGCTGGGAATTTGAATAATCTTTAAGTCATAATTCCTTAGCTGTGAGAAAATTGTAACACTTTGAACATCCCCCAAATATTCATTCATCCAACAAATGCATTTGTGTTATAATCAGTGTGTTAGGGAATGGAATAATAGTAATATGTGGTTTTTATTGGTAAAGGGATATCATAAAAGACTTCATGTTGTTACAGGGTGTGGTAACTCCTGGGTACATACCTATTTTGCAGGATGAATATAGCCACCATTTACAATTATCTCTCACTTACGTTTTTAGTATCCTCAGATACTTTGTATACAATAAGTACAGAAACATTTGTTGAATAAATGAATGACTATATTTCTAAGCAAAGATTTCATGCATATGAGAAAAATAGTTATCTTTTTTGAAAGAGAAGGCTAAATTGGAAATTTATTTTTGGTGCTCCTCAAAAGTCTAATTTAAATTAATGTAAAATTCATTTCTTCATGGGAAATTGTTCTTAAAAGCTTTATCCCTTATACATAAGATTATTACAGTATGATACTTTATATATATTCAAGTTTTTAAAAATAAAAATAACTTTTTGTTTGATTAGTGACGCCAAAATTACTGACTTCTTGTCAAATTTATGCTTCTAATAATTAGTATATTTTTTAGTTCCTTTCTAGGTTGTAGACATAATGTAAAAGCAGATTTAATTTCTGTTTACTTGGCTTATACTTAGGGTAAAAAACTATTTTAAAAATTCTTACAAATAGTAGGAATGTAAAGGAAGGTGTTTGAAAGAAAATACTTCAAATGTTAAGAGAGAAATTAATACACATAACTAACATCAAATTATAGGATTTTACAAAAGCACATATGTATAATATTAAAAGTAGCTTTTTAAGATAAGAATTTTATGCAGACTTTTGAGAATGAAAAATATAACTTAATGAAAAATAAGCACAGCAGCAGATTTTGAATTTAAATAGTAGTACTAGGAGGTTTCTTTTTTCCCTTTTCTGTTATATCCACACTCATCCTGCATTTGATCCATCTGAAGTGTTCTGAAGAGGTCTCACTTAAAAAATGAAAACCATATTATCAGTACAGTGGTGTTCTTTTGCTTACTGCTGTCTCATTGTCATCTAATTGAATTGGAATTTTCTTTACCTTCATTCTCTAAGGGGTTTCAAAGAATATTTAGAAGACATAATAAATGAAAATTGGACATTTCCCTATTTGTTGAATAAGCTTAGTTTTTTTGGGGGGGAGGGGTCCAAGATTAGGTAGATGCAAAAAGGTGAATATGTTCTATCATATCATTTGTGCTGCATTTAGTTTCATATTTTGTGACTCACCCCTGTCAAAGATTCACGTAAAAGCTGCTTATTTTACTTCTTTTTTCCTTAAAGTATTTTACTTCTTTTCTAGATTGGCCAGGTGAAACAGGAGCTGTCCAGAAAGGACACAGAATTACTTGCCCTGCAGACAAAGCTAGAAACACTCACAAACCAGTTCTCAGATAGTAAACAGCACATTGAAGTGCTGAAGGAGTCCTTGACTGCTAAGGAGCAGAGGGCTGCCATCCTGCAGACTGAGGTAAAAAGAATTCTGGGATTTGTGGGTAGTTGATTTCTTGGATCCTTTTCCTAAGCATTACCGTTCTATTTTTGTAATATTTAGAATTGGGAAATATGAGTAATCTTATGATTAATTCTTTAATAGCACGATACGTTATTGTACTAAAATGTAACCATCTTGTTTCAGTTTTTCTTAGATCTGACAAGTTAAAATGGGTGCAGTTTGTTTGTTTTTAATTCTTTAAACTTTCACTTAGTCTGTACTTCAAACTATAAACTAACAGTATTAAAAATGAAAAGATAATTGTAAAAGAGAAATCATTGATTTAGAAGCTTCATGAATGACAATGAGCTTGGTTATGCTGCGTTTGGAGTACATTTAAGTGTTCTTAAGTTGTGGTACTATGAATAACTGTGTATAGAATCTGGAATCTATATTAAAGTTCTAGATAGTCTAATTTTAAACCACAGATTATTAGACAACGTGTCTTTATATCCTGTTTGAAAATAAAATTAGTGGTTGTAGAAATCTTAGAAGATTATCTAGACTGTTGGCTATGACTTCAGATAGGTGTTGACCATCTTCGGATAGGCATATAACTTCAGGTAGATATTTAGCATATTGCTAAATAATCCCAGATAGATTCTTATCTATCTTATTTTCAATGATCAGAGAGAAAGAGTTGACGATGCTATGTGGATTTACTGTCTTAATATGAAATGTTTTTAAAGGTCACAGTGAAATAGGTTATTTAAGAAGAGATAAGTAGTTTTGCTTTATAGAAGAAACATAAAGCATATGATGTAGATTAGCTTTTTTTCTTTAAAGAAACAGATAATAGATAAGAGCATAATTTTATGGAAAAAAGGAATGAGGAGGAAAAGAAAGAATAAAAACATCATAGTCTTAGAAGACAGGAATCTTTAAGTAAGGAAGAATGAAGAAGGAACCTAAACTGTTTCATGTAATATTTTCATCTGTACAATTTGGGGCTTTGATAAAAATGGGAGATTTTAGATGATGTATTTGTAATTTTTCTTATAACTTACACTTTATTTTAGTTATGTTTCATTTTGTTATGATATCCGCTCCATTCTATCTCACAGAGATATTTTGGATATAAAATCATGAGATGCAGTAGTGGCTAAGGCTCTGACTCTAGAGTCATGTTAGAGTTTGGACTTTATCTTTACCATTTAATACCAGTTGCATGATCCTGGGAATGTATTTAACTTCATTACACCTCACTTTTCACTTCTGTAAGATGAAGAGAATAGTAGTGCTTAACTCATAAGTTTGTTGTTAGAATTAAACTCATTTCTTCACTGCTAGTGTTTGGCATATAGTAAGTCTTTGGACATTCGTCTTTGCCATTATTTTATAATTCTTGTAATAAAATCAACTAATAGATATGCTGTTGAGATGTTAAGAGAACAGTTTTCTCTTTCATTGCCACAGTTTTGTTTAGAAGATCTGCGTTTTCATATTTTTATTAAGCTAAACTTAGGTTTATTCAGAAATTACAAAATTATCTAGAAAATGTTACCTGCAAAGTTACTCATTTATAGTTTTATTAATTTTTAAAATTTTTGGTGGGTACATAGTAGGTATATTTATGGGGCATGTGAGATATTTAATACAGGCATTCAATGTGAAATAAATAAATTATGGAGAATGGGGTTATCCATCCCCTCTCAAACGTGTGTCCTTTGAGTTACAAACAATCCAATTATACTCTATTTTAAAATGTAAAAGCTTGAGTGCATGTAATACTGCAAAAGGGTCAGAAGAGGGTGCCAGTGTTCTAGAGGTCAGCCCTACTTCCAAATTTGCTACTGTAATAGCTTTGGATGGAGGTGGCAGGTGTGCAAACCAGAGAACCAAGCAGTTGGTTAATGATAATGCAAACATTTAAAAGCTTGTCACAGTCTAATAAATGACTTTTCCCCCTTGGCAATCTATCCTTCTCTTTGTACCTCTCTCAAATAATGTTCTTATTAGCCAGGTCTCACCCAGATGGGCTTGTGATTAGTTTCTTGTACCATAGAGAATAGATTGTATTTGTTGTCATTCTTGAATGTTTTTTTTTAAATATTTTTAGCCATTACAAGAGTAGCTGAGTGTCATGATTATTTCTGTAAGTTACTAGGACCACTGCTCAAATAGAACCATATGATCGTGAAAGAGAAAAGAATGAAAGCTAACTTCCTTTTGAATTTGGAATGATTTTAAGAATGTAATATGTCTGTTTATTAGCATTACTTAAAAAATTACTCTGATGACATTTGACAAGAGTCCCCTTTTCCAAAGCAACTTTCCAATGTTAGAGTCCAGTAAAAGGCAGTTTGTGCCAGCTCTTTGAAAGTTGTATTTCTATAATTTGCTCTTAGCTGATTTCATCCTCTTTTCTGCAGCTATCCTAGACTTGGTTCTAATACTCAGATCACTAAATAAAGTAAATGTGAAAAAAGAACATGGATCATGGAGTTTTTCTTTTTCTTTCTTTCTTTTTTTTTTTTTAAGAGGTAGACTCTTACTCTGTCACTTAAGCTGGAGTGCAGTGGCATGATTAGATTAATAGCTCATTGCAGCCTTGAACTCTTGGGATCAAACACTCCTCCTGCCTCAGCCTCCTAAGTAGTCAAAACTTTAGGCATGCACCATCATACTTGGTTAATGTTTAAATTTTTTTTGCAGAGACAGGGTCTCACTATGTTGTCCAGGTTGGTCTAGAACTCCTGAGCTCAAGCAGTCCTCCTGTCTCTGCCTCCCAAAGTGCTGGGATTACAGGTGTGAGCCACTGTGCCTAACCTGGAGCTTAAAAAATTTTAAAAATTCTTTTAAGTAAAACAATTATATGTGAAAAGATCTAATTTTTTTTTTTTTTCTGTTCGGGCTACATGGACTGAGGTCCTTTGGTGTTGTACAAGGTACAGTGTGTATGAATTGTTCCTGTTTTGTAATGATCTCTTTTGATCTGATGATTGTCACAGTGGTAGTCTGGATTTAGTAACATAGTGATTAAAAGCATGATCTTTGAAGTCAGATGTAGTCTTGAAACCTAACCCTCTACCATTACTGGTTGTGTGACCTTAGAGGAGTTACTTCACTTTTTTTGTTGTTGAGACAGAATTTCGCTTTTGTTTCCCAGGCTGGAGCGTAGTGGCATGATCTTGGCTCACCACAACCTCTGCCTTCTTTGTTAAAGGAATTCTGTCTCAGCTTCCTGAGTAGCTGGGATTACTGGATGCCCTACCATGCCTGGCTAATTTTGTATTTTTAGTAGAGATGGGATGTCCCCATGTTGATCAGGCTGGTCTCAAACTCCCGACCTCAGGTGATCCACCCACCTTGGCCTCCTGAAGTGCCGGGATTACAGGCATGAGTCACCGCGCTCGGCCAAGTGTTACTTTACTTCCTTTTTTCCCCCTGAGATGGTGTCTTGCTCTGTTGCCCAGGCTGGAGTGCAGTGGTACAATTTTGGCTCACTGCAACCTCAGTCCCCTGGGTTCAAGCAATTCTCCTGCCTCAGCCTCCTCAGTAGCTGGGATTACAGGTATATGCCACCACGCCTGGCTAATTTTTTTGTGTTTTTAGTAGAGATGGGGTTTTACCGTGTTAGCCAGGATGGTCTCGATCTCCTGGCTTTGGAGTGCTCCTTCCTCTTTCAGCTTCCTCTCTATACCTGGGGCAGAGCATTTGTTGTAGCAGTGGTACAGATTATACCAGAGGCTTTCTGATCTGGGAGGCTTCCTTCCTGCCACAACCACTGCCCCAGCTCCAGATGGTGATCCGCCTGCCTTGGCCTCCCAAAGTGCTGGGATTACAGGCGTGATCTGCCACCGTGCCCAGCCCAAGATTTACTTTACTTTTTTAATTCACCATTTCCTCATCTATAAATTGAGGATAATGACAATAACAACTTCTTGAGGTTTTTATGGCTAGGTGTTTAATTATGTTCTTATCTCTATATGGAGGGACTTTTATGATATTATTTTAATTTTTTGCCACAAGATCTCACTTTGTCATCTGGGTTGTAATGCAGTGCCGTGACCATAGCTCATTGTAACCTTGAACTTTTGGGCTCAAGTGATCCTCCCACCTCAGCATCTTTAGTAGCTAGGACTATAGATCCAGGCCACCACTCCTGGTTAATTTTTTAATTTTAATTTTTTGTAGAGAGGGGATTCACTTTGTTGCTTAGGATACTCTTGAACTCCTGGCTTCAAGCAGTCTTCCCGCCTCAGTCCCCAAAGCACAGGAATTAACTGGCAAGAGCCACTGTGCCCAGCCATGGAGGGAAATTTAAATTCAGTGTGTTAAAATTTTAAAACACCTTTCAGTTTATAACATTTTGATTTGATTTGATCTTCATTGTTTTATTTGCTCTTCATAGTAGTGGCATGGGTTTGACAAGATAGGTATTGTTTTGCTTTCATAATTCAGAATTTTATGAACTGCTTATTAGCATACCAGTTTTGATTGGCACTTGAGGTTGCTCTTGCTGGTAACCCTGGTACTTTTGATATCAGTTACAGTATTCTCAGGCATTAGAATTCTCCTCTTGTTCCAAAATCGTGATGCCATACCAGGGATCTACCATTAAATATATTTTCAGGATGAATTCTCAATGTGCAGAGCAGAGCTGATTTTATCAATAAACCAAAATAATGTAGACCTCACTGCCTCAAAGTAGTTTAATTTTTTTTTCCTTATTTCTCCAGGAAATTTTGTTTTGGAATTCTGTTTGTTATAGGTAAGCAATATACTCTATATCTTAGTAAGAGGAAGTGGTTCTTTTTTCAGAGGTGCTCAGGAGATCAGCATCTAGCCTAAGGTGAGGAACTACCCTTGCTCTAGGATGTTTAGGCACCAGAGCGAGGATGCTGGTCTGTGATGTGCACCTTCTGCTTGCAGGCCCAGCGCAGTGCCACTTTAAGCTAGGTTCTGACTTCTTCAGCATACTTAGAGTTAGTAATACATTCGTAGAACTAGAGGGCATTTTTAGAGATCATCTA